TCTTCTCTCTCTCTCTCTCTCTCTCTCTCTCTCTCTCTCTCTCTCTCTCTCTCTCTCACTCTTTTTCTCTCCAAAGCTGCGTAAAAGATAAAATACCTTTATACTCAATCATCTATAAATCCATTATTATTATTTTCGGATTTGTGTGATATATGAGAAATTTCGCACATATAATTTTTTATATATAATCTATGATAATAATTATAATAAATATTATATTTTATATATGCAAGGCATTGCATGCTTAATAAAAAGATACTCTTTTGTCGTTATCGTTTGTTATTATCGATCATAACATGAATTTTATATTATATATACTATGCAGATATTAATAAATCTGATATTTGCCCCAATAAAGTGTGTATATAAATCAATATTGTATTTTTAAAATTAAATAAAAAGTTATATTTCTATTTAATTTTATTTCAATTTTATTTCAATATCATTAAAGATTTAACTATTTTGTTGAATTTTTTTAAAAATGTTTTCAAAATAGTATTCTTGGAGTATATAATAAAATTTATAAATTATACATATATTAGATCAATAATATAAAAAATTGCATGTTGTTAAAGCAAATGTTAATGAACAATAAAAAATAAATGTAACGACTGACGTATTGGACTAATATCGAAAAACTATTGCTAACGATTCTAAAGGCCGACATTATAATTAAGATTATCTCATACGATTGAAAGGAAGAAAGGAATGTTATACTATGAGTTTCTCACACAATCTCATACAACCAAATGCTTAACTCTTACAAGAATTATTTTCAATTGAATTAAGAGATACATCTGGAATCGGTTGACAGAATATCTTTTTTTTTTAAATAGAATTTTTTAAAATAGAAATCTCAATGCATCTTTTTTTGCAAATTTAACAAAAATTAATATATATCCAAAAAAATAAAATTATCCGAAATAGACTACTTTATCTGTTTTTATTCATCGGATTTAACGCTTTCTGATTATTATTTATTTTACGAACAATAAAAAATAAAATTTTCAATACCCCAGTGATTTATAAAATTCACGCACAAACTAATTTTCTGTTACTTGCGAGTTTTTTGCTAAATTGCTGGAGAGATAAGAAATTCTATGAGAACAAGATCTCTACATTCCGACAGATGGCTGAAGGTCTAAGCATGTTATACACATTATTGCAGTATACATAATACAAAATTACATAATACACTAAATATACACTAAATTAAGAAACAAAAATGAAGGAAAGAATCATGCATCTTTACAAAATAGGCATTCAAGTCACAATTGCCGCACCTCATTAGCATATGTATTCATTGTGCGTGCGAGTATAATACTGGAAAGCATAATGCATTGATATATCGAACTTTCCACTGTATCGTAAAGGTAGGTAGTATTGTAGCGAAACACATCACGAAAATATGTTATTCTTGAAGCAAATGCATCATCGCACCTCTTACTTGCGCGATGAATGAACTTACATAATGCACGGGGTCGACTTAAATATGCGATTTTTCTCTCATGCGTGACCATTCGACTTTATTCGCAAAATATATAAGCGTGATTTTCTAAGCAAAAGAGATACATTGAAATTAAGAAAAAACAAGGATTTAAGAATTTAAGAACAAGCAATAATTACATTTTTTTAAGATTATAATTTTAAGATTATAAAAATATGTTAAACAAATAAAAAATTGTATAAAATCAAATCAAATTAAGTTATTGCTTATTTTAAACGTAATATATAATAATTCGAAAATTTTATGTATGAAAAATAGAGCGATTATTAAAAAGTTAAAATCTAAAGGTTAAAGATTAAAAAAACATATAATAAAATGTATAAATAATTAATACAGGACGACCTAATATAAATGCAGTTTAAGGATATCAAAAGCTATTCAATTCTGAAAAAAATTGATTAAAATAAAACTATAAAATTTTAAAAAGTATATTTTGTATGTAAATTATGCACAATACATAATTTAAATATAAAAAATAATTAAATATTGATGATTTTTGTAAATAATATATTTTCTATATATTATGTGAATATATATATATATTATTCTATATATTTTGTAAATAATATATTTTCTTTACAGACTACTATAGATATATTTAATATCGTAGATTATGTATTGTTAGCTTAATAAATTTATAAAATTTTTAAAGAATCAAATTGATATATACTTTTTAATTTTCCAATTAATTAAATTTTATTCGTATAAAACACTTTACGTAATTTAGTTTTAAATGTATATATGTTTTATATAGATTTTGATATAAAATTTTGCTGCATAATTGCTGCATAACAAACAATTTGATGGTAAAATATTTAACATTTCTTTGTTGAATGTTTAAAATTATTGAATTATATAGCATTAAAAAAGATTTATTTCTTCTACATCTCATTTGAATCCAATTAAATAAAAAAAAATGTATTAGGAATATATATGCAAAAGATATAATCAAAATCTAGATGACGCACATAACTAACAACTTTTGCACTGCTTCACAATAATTAATCTGCATATTTTAATATATAATAAGATTTTTTAGATTGGAATTTCTAAATTAAAGGTCCAAAAGATTTCGCATTAATGCGTGCATTAGAATTAAAAGCATGTGAAATTGAATAGCAATTCATCTAATTCATCTGGATAAAATAATAGATAAATTCATTTTTTTCAATTTAAAATGATAAAACAATATTCCTTAATATAAAAGTATTAAATTGCTATATTGCTATTAAATTACTATATTTATTAGTACTGAAATTACTTGTTAATAAAACAATTGTTGATTCAATTGTCTGATATCAAATTGTCAATAGTCACTATTATATTTTGCTTTCTTGATGACAAAAATTAATGATTAAATTCTTTTTCATGCTTTCTCTAGAGTAAATTTCTGAACAGGATTATTTGACTTACGGATCAAGAAATCAAGAGCCAATTTTGAGCATCTCATAAGCATACTTAAATACAGATATGGCACACACTTAAATACAGATATGGCACGCACTGAACAGAGAAAGTTTGCAGTCGAAAAATACCAAAGAAATGACGAACTGGAGCTCTGAACTCGGTTCATGTGCACGGAAATATGCAAATTTTATTTTCACATGATATATTTTATAATAATGCTAAAGAAGGTGCAAAAAATATTAAAATTAATAAAATATTATTTTTAGAAGTAAAAAGTAACATTTTTATCTTTGAATTTTAACCTTATTTTATTTTTATTTTTATTTTCTTCAGAAAATAGTTTCAGAGATACTTAGTTAAAATAGGATGAGTATACACATACAGGATGACAAAATTAAATATTCATTTACGAAAGTTTTTTTATTATCTTATATAAGAAGATAGCACATTTCTAATTTCATAAATTAAGACATTATGAAACAGAAGACGAAGTAAACATAATACGCATGGATTCGATTATGTGTGTTTTTATTTTCTAATAGGTATGTATAAATATTTTATTTTCTAACAGGTATGTATAAATATTTTTTTACATATATCGCATGCTAACTATTTTTATAAAGTATGGTATGTCTTTAAAGATAAAGTTCTCGGGAGAGAAATGGGCAATCCAGTATCTAAGATTGCCCAATTGCCATTTATTACCTAGATACAGATTAACGTACATGTGACTAGTATGAACTTACAGGAAACGTTGACCCGTTAGGTTTTGTTACGGATCGCGGCTTTTCAGATGTTGTTAGTTCATTTTGCGACTTTCGCTAATTTTAATGGGCGCGGCAAAATTACACGAACTGGTGTCTACCAGTTTTTCGCGTCAAATAAACATAATTGTACATTAGTACAATATTGTTGCAGATTACTTAATAAAGTTGTATAAAATCGTATCCTACAATCGTATATTACAATTAAAATTTTTAATTCTTCAGAAATTATTATTATATAAAATATTAATTTATTTTAATGCAATACAGATATACAGTTTTATATTTACTAATCACGATTTAATTTAATGCATTTTAATGCATAGCAATCGGTACCTTCAAAATTAGCATTAAACTTGTATTTTCAATATCAACATGGACCTGTATTTTCAATGCCAAACATATATTAAAGTCGTATTTTTAATGCTAATACGCTACTTTTTTATACATTTCCAATTATTTTTCTTTGACCTATAATAAGTTTTATAATATCTGTTTTTCTTCTGATTGTGATAATTCTTAGTAAACATGTCTGGGTTACAAAATTGAATTGAAAGTATAAAAATATTTCTAATACATATAATTTAAACAAAAAAACTTAAACAAAAAAGATTATGTAAAATTAATAATATATTTTTTATAGCATTAAAGCCAAGTCTTTAACACAAAATAAAAAATATTTTTAAAAATTTTAGAAATTTTTAGAAACAAAATTTTGCCTGCTAAAAAAAAGTTTTAATAAAAGATAATAAAATACACGCGCGCGCGTGTATTAATATCTTTTATTAAAAAATATATTTTATATACCATAGATTTTTAATATTGCATTTTTAATAATGCATGAATTACGTATCTTACATTTTCAAGTTATTCTGTTATATTTTCAAAATTCAAAATCGGATATTAAATTGTTTATATTATTCAAACTATGTTTCTCAAGTAAATTATATACGTAAAGTATATAATAATTGATAGTAATATAAAGTATACGTAAATTCTCCTGTATACTAGTGATATAATTTTTAAAAAAAGCAGTAAAAGAGAATTTTATGTAAAATAAATTATACGTTGAAATTCTTAATGCAAGGACAAATTCCATTTACATCGTACGTCACACACATACTCATGACATGAATTTCAAATGAATGCTATAAACAACACGAATAGTATGTACGATATAAAATGTAAAATCTATGTGTCTATTGACCGATATGTCTAGCGTTCAAGGTATAGGAAAGTTTCGATATTACTCTCTTACACCGGTACCTCAGCCACAGACCTCTAGTAATGACAGCAAAATGATATTTGCGCAATTAATTTCTCTAATTTCTTGGAGCGAACACTAATTCTGGATCGCGACTCCGGCAAGAAGTTACGAAACATCAACACCAGGTCGGTGTACCAGCTGCGGAACGCGCTTTGAAATAGCAGGCGATTGCACCCGTATTGCCGGTTCCTTTCGCTTTCCAGCCTGTCCGCGAGATGAAAGGCCTGAGATGAAAATAACAGCAAGATTTAACAGCAAACACCCACTGTAGGTCCACAAATCTATTTGAGCGAAAAGCCAAGACGAAAGAGCAATAGAAGAAACGGCGTGCGGAAATGACCGGGCCGATGAAAAGTTAGATATTGCCGGTGTCATAATTTCCCGCGAAACAAGACTCAGGGAACGTGTCCAATCGTCACCACTGGTTATTTGAAGTTGGACCAATGATCGGCAAGTAGCACGAGGCTATCAACCAGCCAAATGCAACAGCACCGTCAACCAAGTTACTTGGTAAAGCCTTCGAGTCGCGGCTATCACATCCTTGATCATTGTCAACCGACAGCTCAGTTCGCAGTCATCACTAAACTTTAAGACGTCCTCGACTGGGTTAGACACCATGTACATTTACATCACTCGCATCTGGTAAATAAATCTTTATTTATTACATGTATTAAGTTTCTTAAGGAGTTGTTTCATTTAAAATAGTGAAAATAGCAAAACTTGCAATTCACTTGTTTTAACAGCAAAATCTTTGCAATTAATAATTTTGTATTTAATTGCATCTCGTTTAGACACACAATTAAAATTTTGTATTTTTCTTCAATCAAATTGTACAGAAATGAGAGAAAAATATTTAAGAATAATTTCATATTTTGACAGATTTTAAAAATGTAACAGTAAATATAAACAAACAGGTAAGTCAGTCTTAAAAAAAAATAATATATATATACACACACCACACACACCACACACACCACACACACATACACGATTAATTATTCAGATTATGACTATTAGTTTAGAAATTGTAGTTTCAAGAGAAATCAATTTCACTCAGACGGTTTTATCGCCCATTAAAGGCGAAACTGTTATTAAATTTGCACTCAGCAATCAATGAATGTTATGCAAAGGTACTCAAGTTTTTCATATATACATTATCATAATTTAAAGCAAATCTATGGTATTTCTAATAATAGAATCAAATTAAAAATATAAAATTGTTTATTCATATTGGATAATAACTAAGTGTTATTTTGTATTTTATTGCTTCAATTAGAATTACTTTTTTCTAATAATAATGACTAATAAATTGAAAAAAATGCTACTACTAATACTAAAAAATACTAATTTTCAAAGAATCTGGTCATAATGGTTATATTAATACATTTGTGATTATAATTTTAGAAATGTAGTTAATATTAAAAATAAATAAAACAGCTTCTCAAATAAGCGTCTTTTTTGTTAAATTTAATTAGCTTGTATTTTTAACTGTAAACTTATAATAATTGATGATGTGTCAAGCGTGAAATAAAATTTTGTTTGAACGTTTTATGTAAACCTTACAGTTAAACATTAAAAAAATTAAATTAAATTAAAAGTAATTAAATTTTTTTTAATAAAATCATTTTCTTAATATTAGAACATTAAGCGAATACATGAATTTTCATTCGCAATAACACCACGATATAAAAAAATTTGTTTCATTCTTTCTCTTTCCTATTATTAATGAAAAAAAAAATCTAAATCTTAGAAAAAAGTATGCTTTTAAAAGTATCATTTACAAAATAATTTTATAATTTTTTAATTTTAATTTTATCCTTCTTGAAACACTGATACATGTTTTTCCGTGACAATGAAAGAATATAATACAATATAACTCAACACGTACAGAATTTTTATACAACATATTTTGACCTTTGTCTTCAAAATGTTTAAATTTGTATATTTAATGTCTATTTTAACAGATTTTACATCCTTTTTCTAGAAAAGATTGA